TGTTTTACAAAGTTTTAAATAATAGCTATATTGCCCAGGAGTTAGCAAGTCATGTATCCCTCAGGTTCAAATACATTATTAGGTTAACAAACCAGTCGTATACTGGTAGAAATCAAAAATAATATATAATTACCTAGGTAGTTTAGTAATCGATGTATCTTGACTCTGTCTTTTCTCATAAGGAAAAGTATATCTTCAAAACCTATTTCTTTGGACCCTCGCATTGTAGTTACTTCATTTGCTCTCGTTACTAACGAATGCAGTTGTTTACATAAAACGGACTCAACCAATTTCACTGAAGCTTTCAGCGGGGCTGCATTGTCTCCAAATGCATGCATCATATTGTGTATCTCTGGAATAAGAGTAAATAACAAATACAATATGAGTGGGGTGCCAAGAATGCAGAAGATCCACTGAATTAATGTACGAATGATTACCTTTCGTAAATACTGCTCCTTGTTCGCATTCGGAAGATGAAGACACTGCATTCATGTTTCGCTTCAGATTGCCACCAAAGTACAACTTAATAACAATACTGCACGTTCTTAATTTGACAAGTTCAGCTGTCACTTTGAATCACTTGTGGTCACTAGTCGCATCTCGTTTGTCACTTGTCTCCGGTCTTTCGGTATTGGCCCCCGTGGTGGAAATAACAGTCTCGCGCTGCGCATACTGTTGTCAGTGGACCAATAAGGTCTGACAGGAATTGTCCTGGTAGCGCCAAATTCAAATTATCGGAGATGTACATTTTAAAGTAACTTTAAATAAATGTTATTAAAAATACCCGTTTAATTTATTAATGACCTTCAAAATTACTAAATGAGTATTATTAACGAGTAGCTTCGCAATTTAAATATTTCAGACTCAATCTTCAACAAATGTGTGTGTGCAAATATAATCAACTTTTTTTAAATCGTAACTGATTAAAAGTTTAATCTATAATCACTATAAAAAATCCGTCACATATTAAAATAAAAGCAAGCACCTTATTTAATGATAACTTTTATATTGCATTCTACATTGGTACTATTAATT